AGGAGGATGAAATAGATCTGAAGGGAAAGATGGTAAAAGGAACACGTTGCAATGGGTTCAGAAGGAGAACTCAACATGATATGAAGGACAATACTGAGATCCAAAAGGACAAAGAGACGTGGTGGACAGACTAGTCGAAAGGAACAGAAAATGAGGGAACTCACCAGGGAGGAGAAGGAATTCTGGAAATATGAGAATGGAAGGTGGTTGGCACAGAGAACCTTGACTAAACAACCATGTGAAGAACTGGAACAGATGAGATTCAGAAGGATGGGATGTGTGGAAGCTATGGCAAATGGATCAAAGTCTGAAGGAAGACCAATGCTTCTGTTACACATACTAGGAGGGAGGTCAAAAGATACAGGCAAGGAAAGATGCTACACTAGTGGTGAGACTCTAAGCTGAGGCAAGGGACCTGACAAAAGCCACGTGTGCAGATGGAGTTTGGTGACATTGGAATGAACCATGTCAGATCATGGTTGTCAGAGGAGAGACTGGAATTGAGGTAAGAGCAGGGGATGTCACTCCAGCAAGGGCCAGAACAAATGGAACTATGTTTGAGAAGGACACAACAAGGAATGGTCTGGAGAAGGGAAAACTCTGGATAGGAGTATGATCCATGCAAACCTAGATGAACACATTTATCCCAAGAGCTGAAGGGTGTGGAATCAGAGACCAAAAGGAAGGAATTTGGCATTCCAGTGAGTGGCAAACACATTTATATGTGGTGTTCCCAACTGAGAACACACCCACCAAACTATCTGTGGAAGAAAGGATCACTCTGTGAGGAGAAGCTGGTTGGGTCAAGATAAGTGATTGGCCACCAGATTCATAACACTGGCAATGTGACACAACAAGATTGCCATGTAGTGATTGTGGGTCTAGTAGAGAAGATCCAGCATCTGAAAACACTGAGATCTGGATTGGGTTTCTCCTTGATTTAGCCACTAAGCAAGGTCAGCCTTGATCCCAGGAGGAAGGTAATGGGATGGTCAATAGGAACATGGGAGAAATTCTATTGGTTGAGAAGCATCTAAGGAAGCCCACATCCTCAAAACAGAGAGTGAACCCCTCATACAGTGAAAAAAGAACCACTTTATTTTCTCATGAAAATGAAACTTTTTTTTTTTCAAAAAAAGAAGTTAGAAGAGAGCTGATTGAGGTGTTTTGGGTTATTAACCCTTTTGAGATGGGTCATAGGTGAAAGCCATGTCATTGCGTTTGTTCACTCACATTCAAAATTTTATTCAGCTACTATTTCATGAATTTATGTCAGTAAGTTTGGTATGAAACTGTAGATTATAATTCAAATGTTAGTATTATACATTACTTAATTTCTTAACTTAAAAGTAAACATTAAAGAAAACACAATTAAACATCGATTTTTGTGTGTCACGTGGTATATTGAATGCAGTACTAGTTCAAATTAGATGTTTGTGAAGTCAAAATATTAAGTCTGTAGTTTTATATAAATTAAAAACTCAAAATACCAATATTGGCAAGCTAGAATATAAAATAAGAGCCTCTTATCTTTTCAATTTCCTAAAATATTGCTCACGTAATGTATCAAACACAGTGGCACCCCACCCACCTCTTTCCATTTTTGGAAATGCTCCCTTATATACACTTAATTTTATATATGACATGAATAACCAAATGGAAGCTCAGAATGTCCCCCTAGTGGCTCTCTCAGCCATTTTAATGGTCTGGGCTCCATTTCTTTTTTTTGAACCAATATTTCAACAATGTAGGGTGTGTTTTTAGTCTGCTCAAAATTTCATATTTTTTTAGACTAAAATACAACTTACTTACTAAGCTTGATAAATTATAGTAGAATTCTATGGTATTAATGTAGTAATTTATGATTTTTTAGTTATTTAAATGTATATATAAAACCTAAAGAAAAAATATTTTGTTTCATATCCTCCACGTGCAAAATTTTGAAAGGCTTAGCAACCTACGTGAAGCAGCAACCGAGTACACAGGTCATAAATAGAAGAGATAATTGTTTGGTTTACTTCTTTATTTACTGTTCTATGTTTTAAGAAAAATAAGTTTAAGAACTGTTTGTAAATAGTAATAATGTATATACATATATAATGTATGATAATTGAAATGTGTTTTACAAAATACTAGTCCACTAAAACACAGCCAAGACAGATGACTTTATAAAGTAAAGGTCAGTTGGATACAATTACAGGAGTGCACGTGTGCAGCAGTATTGTCACTTTTGTTTTGTTAGCCAGGCACGCCTGGAAGGTCAATATAATAAAAATAATAAGTATATATATATAAATGTATAATGTTATGAGATTTAAACTATTCATGTTATAATTTGTAGTCATTCTAGAATGAAACAAGCATAATTTATATTTTCCTAATTTTTTATTGAGATAATAAATTCGGTCATATCCAACCAACTTGTACAGAAATACAACAATGAAAATAAATAAAATATAAAGTTTTTTATACAAAAAATTTTATAATTATCTGGATATTATAAAGATTTCACATGTAAAATTTGAAAATTTTCTAATGCAATAAAGTATTTTTAATCTTAAAATCAAAATTGCATTACATGTTGGATAGTCAACATTCTGAAACAAA